GTATCGCTTTTTCTTTTTTAAACTGACGGTTCGAGATTACTAGTATTATATTTCATTGCACAACAGTTGTTGGGATGCTGTCACAGGCTCTTTAAAGTTACATTCCTTTAGAATGTACAGTAGTTTCTGTGTAACTACATTTTCAATCTCTGAAAGTAAGTCTAGCTCTGTCAAGCTCATACTTTAGACAACTTCCTTTTAACCCACATCAATGAAGAGGTTCACTCATGGAGGTTCAGCAGTACTTCAAATAGAAGTGGTCTCTCCTGAACGGTCAGCTGTCAGGAAGATGGATAGGCTCTGTGTATTTGGACGACTGTGGGTTTGATGTCGGTTGATCTCAACCTCCCACAAACTAAAAGTCAATAAGCTGGAGCCCAACTGTCCCTCAGGGGAAATCAAAATCAAAGTTAAAGAACAGAAGCCAAACAAGTCACTTAAAAACGGGTCATATCACTGTGCTGTGCAGCAGTGGACAAAGTCGATATCCATCAGCTGGAGGTCAGGGGAGGTCAGCCATACCAGTTCTGGACCATAGCCAAAAATGGAAATGATTTAGCTTAGACTTGTCAGTGTGCTGTATAACTCCCAGAAAGGACTAAAGAACAAAACAACTGAAGTCAGCTTTCTTCAGGCCATCAGTATTTTACAGGTGATCAAGGATTACTACACACCTTGTATCATCTTTAATGATGGAACACCCATCAGAAAATAAATGACGGTAAAGGTGCAAAACGTCTCATAGGTAAAATATGAAAGTTGAAAGGTTGTCTATTCAATGGAGATATAAAGGCTGTTGTGGATACTTCAAAGCTTCTCTCTAAAAGTTGCCATTCAAGCTATAATGCTCCTTTAATGGTCAATAATGTCAAATGAGTGTGCTTGAATCCAACATTTATGAACAAATGAAGATAAATATAAGGCTAAACTAATACAATTAATTTTGTATTTAACTATGTATAGAATAGTACAGTGGTAGGATGTAAAAGGAATGTATGATCCAAACATTTCCAATAACTCAAGAAGATTCTAAGGCCATCTAAAAATGTATATGTTGTTATTTATACATTTGTCAACAAAATGTATTTAACAAAATATCATATTTCATACTTGAATAGCGTTTAGAAAAGTTTAGAGAATACTTTACCCTGTTTCCTGCTCAATGCACATTAAGGGATGCAAGCATTTATAGGCTATAAACAAAGCGATCAAGCATGAATCTAACAAAACTTACAAAGATATATTCATTAAAGTAAATAACTAGTACTCGTCACAATTTGATGAATCACTTTGTTCAAGGATTTAGTGTGTGTGTGATGTTGAATAACATTCCAACTTAATTCAAAAATCTCAATGAATGACATTCAGTGAAGCCCTTATAGATTGGGGAAACAGTTTAGTGCATTCTTTCAAAAGAGCGAGCCAGGCATCACCATATCTTGAACCCATCACATTTGAATTTAATTTTCAACACTGAGTAACACCGAACCCATGAATATGATGTAATGTTAAATCCTTTATGACAATCAGTCTTTTACGAGACTACGTTTTCAAACAGCTGTGAGCTGGCGTGCCCTGGAGCGAATAACTGAATCTACCAGCTAATGGTTACTCTTCTGTAACTGTCCATAATCTAACAAAGTAACCGTCTCAATACCTGTTTATTATGAATCAACATTTTAGACACAATGTTAAGAACATACTCGAAAAAATGTATTACTGTTTACTATACTGCATACTGGCCATTGAGCCTGACCTTACTGTATCTTTGTTGGAGGCATTAAACTGTAACCATGTAGGTATCCTTGGCCCTCTGCCCTCCACCATAAAACTGAATACAAGCAGCCAGCTACTGTAAAAGGCCAAGCACTTTCAACAACATGCTAGTTGTTATGGCCCCTGTACAGTCTGTGTTATTAGCGTTCCATTGCCTTGGAAAGAGAGGTCACCACCAAGTGCAACGACAAGGGAGTTAATTGTTTACAGTAACTAGATGACTATTTGGATCAACATTTTGTGAAGTAAAAATATTAAACAAGCCATAGTTCCAGATGGTCTGATGATGATTTGCTGGATTTTCAATTATTTTTAGACATTGGAGACCAAACAGTAACATGTCATTCAGTAGATCAATACAAGTATTGTTTGTTGCAGCACTAGTCGACACGTAAAGAGAATAAAGCATAGGCGCTTATTTTCACTACTTCATAAGCAGGTTGACCAATGGGCTAATATCCCCAAAACCTGGAATACTGCACTTAGAAAGAGAGAGAGGGAGATATTGGCAGCTAGTTGGCAGACATGCCAGGTTGAGTATGTGTTGAAGCTGCAGCCAAGGCTCCCACCAAGTGTCTCTTCTCTCAAACAAAGAGCTTTTCTCACATCCTCGGTCTCTCTCACACAAACACACACAGAGTATTACCTCAATCATTGAATGTGACAAGCTGGGACTGTGTGTGCGTGTGTGTGTGTGTGTGTGTGTGTGTGTGTGTGTGTGTGTGTGTGTGTGTGTGTGTGTGTGTGTGTGTGTGTGTGTGTGTGTGTGTGTGTGTGTGTGTGTGTGTGTGTGTGTGTGTGTGTGTGTGTGTGTGTGTGTGTGTGTGTGTGTGTGTGTGTGTGTGTGTGTGTGTGTGCTCACTCAGGCTGACTAAGTATCTTTGTAGGAATCAGGATTAGGTTGTTCACCAACACAAGGCTTATGTAAAGCTGACCTACAGTATGTGGCACTGCACAGTGTACTGGCCTGCTGCAGTGCTACCTGTTCACTCTGACAGCACACTGTAATCAACATAATGAATAATAACTTGATAAATGTTTCCCTGACACAATGATCCAAGGTATGATGTAGTAGTCATATTGTACATGATTTATTTGTAACCCTGGAGCCAGCCAGTATTTCCTGCAGTAGGTCTTAAACCCTGCCACAAGGCTCCTAACTAGCACCAACAAAATAGTCTATTAATTTCAAAGCTCTGATTTAGAATCAATAAATGTTTCTTCCCATTTATTTTTCCTAATTTAGTCCTACTACAAAATAGTTCCTTTGGAATTGATAAAAAACACTATAGGAGAAAAGGAAGGCACTGAAAAAGACAGCACCTCACCACACAGCGCTCTGGAAAATCTTCTGATTCCTCTCCCTGATATTTGACTGAGCCTTTCAATTTAACCTCTTAATGTCGACACAAACCAGAGGCCGTGATTTGTCAGCTATAGTATGCACCACCACCCATGCATCACCTTGACATCTGCCCTTTCAGAAGATGACTCTGCATCTGATTAATATTTAGTTTTAATCAAATACAAATGTGAAAATCAACTATTCTATATTCTATGTGCTTTCAAAGGGATTTTTAGGATGATATTCCTAAAAATCCCTTTGAAAGAGAATAGGAACGTTGATAAAAAAGAGCGGTAAGCACCTTTTTATCTCTAAACTCTTTCTTATACACAATCTGTAAACTCAAAATCCAGATAGAAATAAGAAATAACCCTTATAGGAGTGATTTTGGCCTATATACACACGCCAAGTCATAGAGTTGCAAGAGGCCACTGTTAATGGACATTAGAGGTTTAACTTAATCACCTATGGATGGTGAGAAACATAGGCTACAGAATGCTATGTTCAGCATGTATATGTAGATCACAGACAAATAACGTCAAGACAAAGCAGAAGATATTTTTCGATCTACAGAGATGAATCTCGATTGTTTGCTGCTAGTCTCTACTTTGTCCTTCCATAAAATCGAGATACTGTAGATGCATGCATTAGAGTTAGACCAATAATCATGTCATAGCTGAATCTGCGCCTGTGGCTAACACTTACAGTAGGCCAAACGCAGACCTTGGTGGAATGATAGATGCCGATAGACGACCAGTCAGGAATATGAGCCCACTCCCTCTGTGAGGAGGGGCTTCAAGCTGCTTGCCTGACCATTCATGACTCAATGCACTTCAGCCTCATCCTGAATGCATAATGTGTTTAAATGTATCTGCACACACTGTAGGCAAGTGGACATGACAGAGTAAAATCAATAGGCAGCCCCTTTATGTAAATGTATTGAATCGAAGCCTACATGCACTGAAGACGACATCTATCATGTTTAAACTCACTAATATATAACCATTCAGTATGAGGTAAAAGAGCTCTGAGGTGTAACAGCCCAGACGGCTTTAGCTGCATTTGCTGTGTTGGCTTTATTCAAATGGAATCAAATAGACCTCATCAATTGCAACAGAAAATGTGATTTCCTTACATAAAAGAAAGGTTATGATGACAACATGCACATATTGGGTTTTAAATTGTGTAATCAGTCAGAGCAGCCAATATGACTCAGCACCTGTATTTGCCACCCTCTCTCTTTCTCTCTCATTAAGCAGACTTGATCAGATTTCAAATCACCATTATATTTAAAAATGTGCATATTCTCAACATCTTTTTCAGAATCACATCATGTAATATATTTCCATAGGGTTCTATAGGCGTAGTAGGCTATAGCTTGGAAGTCCTGCACTGCCACCGCAGCCAGGCAAGTTCCCGCAGTGACCGCAATAGGTAGATCCTTTATGTGGCACCATGCAGATTGTATCCTTTCAACAACTCATTTTAACATTTAATTGCGTAATAAACCGATAACATCTAAAAAATCAATTACCCATATGTGCTTCTTAGATCTGTTGCTCAGCTGTGATTTCATATCAGACCAAATTCCGGAGCACTGCTTATCTAACCATGGCTTTACACGCAAAAATTACACAGAAAAGACTCGTAAAAACCCAGATCCAGTCCTCCTGTAGACAAACAATGCGTCCTTTCTCCATCCACACAGAGAGGGGCACCCCATAATTTCAGCTTGAATGCTTTCAAGGATTAAAATGGTCACAGTCGGGTGAAAATGCTCCCTCTGACCGACAACATCACAATCGTTTGTTGATGCATTGCCATTCGTCCTCATGCTATTGTTTTACCAAGCTGAAAATAAAGAAGTGTGAATTCTTACCTGTTAGGCGCAGTGTCTTTCAGTGCAACTCCGGGTCTGTCGGACACAGGGGCTCCGCAGGCTGCATTTACCGTAATGGAGGTAGTAGTCACGCCGTTACATTATTACTTTGCGCTTGTAATTACGGTGTTGTGCTTCACCCGTTTTCTTGAAATAGTAGAAAAATACACAAACATTCTGTAAATAAATCTCAACTCGAAGAGAATGAAATGCAATTGTAATAATGTTAATGTAACTCAAAAGGCAATTGTAAAGTTAATGTTTGGCTGACTCACTACTCACCTGGGCAGCAGAGCCAGCTAGGGAGTAGGGACACACCAAACTGACACAAAATAACTCACACAGATGGACCCAACTGTTGTGTCGCCTCACGTCTCCTGCGTCTTGGCCAACAGTCGCACTGGAACCAAGCGGCAAACTCTGTGGCAGAGCCGGGAGGCCAATAAGGAAGTGCCACAAACTGCAGTTCATCTATTGGCCGATAGGCGATGACTGCAGAAAGGATCAATTTCCATAGACCCCATGTTAAAATGCCCAACTTTACAGCAGGAATAAACATGTTTCTGCCCCTAGATGCAGGGCCGCCCCTCCCTACAGGCCAATCACGCAGGCTGCATGGGGCCCCGCCCAGAGGGCCTCAGCTGCTATGCGCAGTTCTCCGCTCAGTTCTCCGCGCACCCCCCGCGAGAGTGAGAGGTGACAAGGGGAGCAGGTGTGTAACCCGATACCGTTGCAATGAATCGACATCTGACCAATCACGGCTTTGATACGGCCACTAGTGCAGGTGAAGAGATGTCGGTGAAAAGACAGTTTCAGTCCGGGGCAAGCAAAAGGGGAAACAAAACATGAAGAAACTAGAGCATCACTCGAAGGTGGGTTATTGTATGAGTCAAATGTACAACTTGTGAATGTTGTAGAAGTCAAATTGCCAATTGCCATATTAAAACATCAGCTGCAATTCAGGACATGAAGAAGGCAGTCTCTGCATAGCATATAGGCTAATGGAGATGCAGTTATTTCCAGCATTCTTTATTTAACATTCATTCAAGTATGTGATGCCTTTGATCTGCTAATGTACAGGAGGAAGAGTGATACACTGTCTGTCTAGTTGGCTTACATAACAGTTAAAGTTTGCAGCCTAAAAAACATGGAGCATTTTTTCCCCTTTTATTCATTTTTATGTCAATTTGCACATTTCATGGTGACCTCAGCCTCTCCCCTTAAGGCAAGGCAAGGCAAGTTTATTGATATAGCACCTTTCAACACAAGGCAATTCAAGGTGCTTTACAAAAATGAAAGACATTCAGACAAAGGCATTTAAAAACAGTAAAAGATAATAAAATAAACATTAAAAGAAAAAATATATGAATAAAAAGTAAACTTTTACTCCTAACAGTCATCATCATGTCAACCACAACACAGAGAAACACTGATAGAAATGTGTGTGTTGTTGATACATTGCTGACAGAGGGAACTACATTTGAATACAGATTTAAGAAATATCAGTTTTTGAGCATGTCATAAGCATGTTTTGTCTTGACTATTGTTACGTTCCCACTTGGCTAGGGTACAAACGGGAAACGACACGACCAGATTGGATTTGGTATATTTGTTACCGGTGGTTTTATTGTCACTGAAACTAGGCAAAATGATGGTCACACAGATTGGCCACACAACACGGGTCAATCTGTCACTATAATACAACACAAAGGGTCTCCAAAAGAGAGTTGCCCCGCTATAGAAAGAAAAACAAATCTCACTACTCAAGTGGAAACAAGCAATAAACAAAACGGGACTGTGGAAACACACAGCTGGTGCGGGTCTACAGGTGCTAATCACCTGGCTCTACGCAATATCCACTCACAGGAACGCTGGTCTACAGGTGCTAATCAACCTGGATCTAAGCAGTATAAACACAAAGGAATGCTGGTCTACAGGTGCTAATCAACCTGGATCTAAGCAGTATACACACACACAAAATCCCTACGCTAACACAGAACCCGACGACACACTGCTACTCAGTGTGCTCGCCTAGAACCCTACTATAGACACTGCTAATCAGTGGAGCTAATACAAAAGGCACACGGCTAAATACTCTCAGAATTCACAGAAGGAAGGCTTATCACAAGGATAGGGTTGAGGCATCTGACACAAAATACAGAGCCTCCCGACTGTTGTCCGTGCTCAGCCTTTATACTCCTCCCCCGGATGACGTGGCAGAAGCGAGCAGGGGTTGGGCGACGTCTGTCCAATCCCCGCGGATGTTGAGCGGTCCGGACGGCCAATGACAGCAGAGGAACTGCACAGCTCATTTACATACACAAACAGACTTACGCTCACAAGGTAGCAGCGGCTGTAACACCCCCCCCCTTAAAACACAAACCCCACAGGGTTTTTGTGAACCATAACACATCACACACCATGACCACAGAACACATCACTCCAGTCTGGACAGAGCATCTGCGAACACGTTCTCTGAGCCTTTCTTGTGTCGGATTTGCAGGTTGTAGTCCTGAACGATCAGAGCCCGCCGCATGAGACGCTGATTGTGGTTGTACATGCGGGACAAAAAGACAATGGGGTTATGATCGGTAAACACTGCAACCGGCAAATAACTAGACCCGACATAAACCTCAAAGTGCTGGAGAGCTAACAACAAAGCAAGGGTCTCCTTTTCAATGGTAGAGTAGCGTACCTGGTGTTTGTTGAACTTACGGGAGAAATAGCAGACAGGATGATCAACTCCCGCCGCATCTTCCTGCAGTAAAACAGCACCGGCCCACACTGCACTAGCATCCACCTCGAGTTTAAAGGGCTTCGCAAGATCGGGAGCAGCGAGCACAGGAGCTTGACTCAAAAGTGTCTTTACACACTCAAATGCATGCTGGCACTCAGGGGTCCAAACATATTCCACCTTGGGACTTATCAACCTAGTTAGGGTTTGAGCTACAGTGGAGAAGTTACGGCAGAAACTGCGGTAGTAGCCTGCCATACCGAGGAAACGGCGGAGATCACTCCTGGTGCCGGGCACCGCACATTCAGCCACCACAGTAACCTTAGCCTCCACTGGTCTAACTTGGCCTTGCCCAACCTGCTTTCCTAAATAGGTGACCGTAGCTTTACCAAACTCACATTTGGCCAGATTCAAAGTAAGAGACGCCTGTGCGAGCCGGGTGAATACCTGCCCCAGAATCTTCATGTGCATCTCCCATGTGGGCGTGTACACAATGAGGTCATCCAAATACGCGTTACAATGGCTTATTCCGGAGAGGACAGTATTCACCAATCTTTGAAATGTAGCGGGAGCGTCACACATACCAAACGCCATTACTGTATATTGCAGGAAACAGTCAGGCGTAGCGAAAGCGGAGATTTTTGAGGCACGGTCCGTTAAAGGTACCTGCCAGTAACCTTTAAGTAGGTCCAATTTACTGACAAATTTAGCGGAACCTAAATTATCAATGCAATCCTCCATTCTCGGCAATGGGTAGCAATCTGTTACCGTAACAGCGTTCACTTTACGGTAGTCCGTAATAAATTGCGGAGAACCATCAGATTTCGCCTCTACAAGACACGGCGAACACCATGGGCTAGAGCTCTGTGTCGCCAGGCCATTTGCTACAAGATAGTCAGCCTCCTGTTTCATAAGTGCGCGTTTGGTGGGATTGGCGCGGTACGGATGTTGTTTGATTGGCTTCGCACCTTTTACATCAATGTCATGTTTTATCACATTAGTTTGGGTGGGGACATCATGGAAAAGGCACGGGAAATCATCCACCAACTGGGTTACGTCATTCTGCTGGCTCTCCTGCAGATGACCTAACGTGGTCGGCAGTGTCTCTACCATCTCCGAGTTGCATAACCGCGCACCCGGCTGGTGATGTGAGCGCATCACCAACCCGTCCTCAGAGGAGCCGGAACTATCTACCACTATTAACGCCGAAGCAGCCACTCTTTGATTACATGAGCCGGCTGGCGTACTATCAGTGACGGTGCGTGCAGGATATCGCTTCAACATGTTTACATGGCAGACACGCGTTTTTCGTCGTCTCTCGGGAGTACCAATCACGTAATCGGTGTCGCTGAGGCAATCACGGATTTCATACGGCCCGAGGAATTTGGCTGAGAGCGCAGAGCCGGGGATAGGTAATAGTGCGAGGACCTTGTCACCTATGTCAAAGTGCCTAGGGACAGCGGCACGGTCATAATTTCGCTTCATAACCGCTTGTGAAGCGGAGAGCGACTCTCTGGCGAGTGAATTTGCTCGGTGCAAACGCTCACGGAACTGACTAACGTAATCTAGTACGTTCGTATCTGGAGGAGTATCAGCCGAAAGAAACTCATCGTGTAGGATTTTAAGTGGACCGCGGGGCGTATGGCCGAAAACGAGCTCCGCGGGACTGAATCCTAATGACTCCTGAACAGCTTCACGGGCTGCGAACAAAACGAAAGGAATTCCCTCATCCCAATTTGTTTCTGTCTCCATACAGTATTTTCGCAACATACTCTTTAAAGTCTGATGCCACCGTTCTAATGCCCCCTGCGACTCTGGATGATACGCACTGGATATCACATGTTTAACCTGCAGTGTTTGTAGGACCTGTTTGAACAATTTAGATTTCAAATGTGTCCCTTGGTCACTTTGGATTACTCGCGGAATTCCAAATGTAGAAAAGAACTTCGTCAAGGCCTTAACTACAGATGTTGAAGTAATGCTACGCAGCGGAATCGCTTCCGGAAAACGAGTCGCCGTACACATTATCGTGAGTAAATACTGTTGACCTGTTTTCGTACGTGGTAAAGGACCAACACAGTCTATCAACACCCGGTCAAAGGGCTCACCTATAGCCGGTATGGGATGTAACGGAGCCTGCGGAATTTTTTGATTAGGCTTACCGACAACCTGGCACACATGACAGCAGCGGCAGAAGCTAGAGACATCTTTCTTTAAACCTGGCCAAAAGAAATGCTTCAGAATTACTTGATACGTTTTAGTCACGCCCAAGTGTCCCGACCATTGACTTTCATGCGCGACAGATAGCACATGTTGACGGTATGGCACCGGCACGACTACTTGATGCACTACACTCC